CCCACTCGTGATGTGATATGGATGTGTGACCAAGCGCCTTGTAGGAATAGTTCACATATACTTATTTTGCAAGTAGTTTTTGTTGTTTGCATTTTTACTGATTCTCATAATTTGTACGACTACCATTATTGACTGTAAAAGTATTGTTTTAAAAAAAGTGACCTTTGAAGTTCCGTTCTGTTTTTGGAATACCCCATACATGATACATTGATAATCACTCACAAATATACTGCTGCGCATATGTGCTTCTTGTTTTCAATTATTTACCGTTAAGATAACTGAACTCCATTATACTTGCAGTCAACGTTGACAGATCGCAGTAATGTCCTCATTACATGTTATACCTGGATATACATCTCGAATGGTAGAAATTATTTTTTAAATCAATATTAACCCACAATTTTGAGTGACAAGACCGAAGGGGACTACAGCACGCCTAGCCTTGAAAATTTAAGTAACGTCAGTATATTTTTATATGATTTATAGTTAGTATATTGACACAATAATTTTCTACATGATAACTTTATCATTATTTTTGGACTTGAAGTATTTTGGTCCACTACGGCCTTCAGCTGCTGTGTGTTCACTAAAACTAAGAAGGTCAGCATCAATGCTGAAGACTTGTATAACTATATGTTTTGCGGACGTATTTACTGTTGCACCATTCTTCCTGTAGCAGTTTTAACCATTTGACTCTAGTTATGACTCCAAATTATCTCGATCTGAGGCTTGTAAGATTTCTGTCGACTGCTTCCCCTGTTAAATGTTAGTGCATTGTATGAGCTTTCTGGGTCATCGTTTCGCTTTTCATTTTGTTCTCTTTTCTAGTCCTCCCTGCTTACGCTACTCGGCGTGCTCCCCTAATAATCTCATCTCGACCTCCCAGCATGGATTTCTTAGGTCCAGATCATGCGATACATGCCTAGTAGACTACCTGAATGATATAACTCTGAAACGAGACAGCGGACTCCTTGTATCAGTCCTATTTCTAGACTTTAAGAAAGCCTTTGATAAGGTCCCACACAAAAGGCTACTCGTAAAACTAAAGTATTCGGAATAAACAACCCACTGTACTCATGGTTTGCTTCGTTCTTAACAGAACGTAAACAGATGGTAAAGTACAATGACTGTCTCTCGTCACCTAGACCAATCACCAGTGGATTCATCCAGGGAAGCGTATTAGGTCCACTTTTGTTTCTTATGTATATAAACGATATATGTAACACCATAGAATTTGGGAAACCATACTTATATGCTGATGATCTCAAAATAGTATACAGCTATAAGCCTGAGACACTAAGCGAAAGTATATCCCAGATCCAAAAGGACCTCAATAACTTAACTATATGGAGTGAAAAATGGCAATTACCATTTAACCTCAACAAGTGCGGGATCATGCACTTTGGAAAGCATCCCTATAAACCGCGACTTCACTTAAATGAATGTATAGTCCAAACACTCGAATCAGTACACGATTTAGGAATTAATTACACAGGAAGCCTAAACTTTGAAGAACATGCCTCCTCTATTATTTCTAAATCTAGACGGCTAATTGGTTTTATAATGAAAAAATTTTTCACAACAGAGGGTAAACTTACTCTCTACAAAATATGTGTACGACCCTCCCTTGAATACTGCTCTTTTGTCTTCTCTAATATGAATATCACAGACAAGATAAGAGTAGAAGATGTTCAAAGACGTTTCACACGTCAACTACTAGGATGTAACTCGAGTCTCGATTACACAGACAGATGTAAGCATCTATCTTTAGAACCTTTATGGCACCGTAGGCTAAAAAACAATTTAATATTTCTCTACAAAGCGATATACGGGCTCTCCTTTCTAACCTCCTGGCCGACTATCACCCACGATCCAGCCTATAGACTTAGAAACAACGCATATACACTACTTACCGTAAAACATCAAAAACAAATGCGTTGTAAGTTTTTACAGTACGGTATAGTTTATTGTGGAACAGGCTGCCAATGCCTATCCGCAACTGTGATACGTTTACCAGATTCAAAAAGCTAATAACCCTATTTCTTGACTCCAAAGAGCTTCAACATTGCCTTGAACTCCCGCCCACCAATGAGGCACTTTATTACGGACCGCCCAGTATCTAGAAAGAACAAGATTATAACAAGTTCGACTGTTACTAATACGAATATCACCAAACCACAGAATATATGGCTTACCCTTTCCTATTATTCATTGTTTATTAATCATAACCTTATGTTCCTAACCCTAGCTTTCAGTTCCCAAATCTCTACAGGTTAAATGTACATTATTCTTCCTAAAAGTCATGCTTTTTTTTCTACTGCAAGTAGACAGATAGCTCAATCTTATGGATGCTGATCTACTAAGGCCGATCATACAAAGCTCTAATTTGGCCACAAAGTCTTGTGAGTTTCTCAATGTTTTATTTGTCTTACCCTGAAATCTTTTTTCTTTTTTCTTTCTACAGTTTTATACCCTCTCATATCTTTTGATTTGCTATTAGTCCTTACTTCTTTAAATCATTAGTTATTTTCATAGCAGTATGATATACTATATGAACATCTAACCCAAAAAAGACTTTCCAACCATCTGATTTGCTTGTAACATGGACCTAGTAGAGACAGTGTATTCGAACTATGGGCTTTGATTAAAGCAGTATTCATACTTACCATAAACGTAAAAGAGCCTAACATCACAAAAGGAGGGAGGGTGGCGTTACTGACCAGCAAACACGATGGTGGGGAGATAGATTCAATCCACCCATGTCTGTAAGGCAGAACATTTTGTTTAATTACGGCTCCTTATGGTTTAGTGGGATGTCACGAACTTAAGGTATTAATGGTGATTTATCATGCAAAATACCTCTTTAAATCGTGTTACGAACGTTGAATTGGTTTCACTTCCTACTCAGTAATCCTATTATAAGCAAACTAGACAATTCGATAATATACGAAGCCTACTCATGACCCTATGATACCTGAAAAAAAGTAATAATACAAAAAAAGAAAAGGGCTCCAATTGCTTCGATAAAAAAGTTAGCCAATTGTATATCACAATAGTGTTTCTAGCACCATATTTTATTTTAGAATCACACATAATCCCATACCTCCAGCTCCTTTCCGAATCGCCTCCATGTGTCAGTTGTATGTCCACTCACACTTTGTTAACACTTATTGTCTTTAACCTATTAAATGCTCTTGCTTAACAAATACCTTAATAAAAGAAAATTAGACTGAGTAATCATACCTTAAACATTCCTTCATGAATGTTGGCTACTCTGCCCCTCGTGTTTTCTTTTACTTGCCCCCTCTTTCAGCCCCCTTGTGATATGGAATGAAAGATTTTATCTTGCACCAACCTCAAAGCCTCAGACATTCCAAAGGGACATAAGGTTGAGACATTTAGAAGCTCCCACCTTCAATGGACCTATCGTTGACCATCAGTTGCACATTTGCCACGCAACTTTCGTGAAGCGCCAATTGTAGTACTGATTAAAACCATCTACATTCATATCTTATAAATTATCAACCCAGCTATGTAATTTACTACAGTGGATATTGTATCATTTGTATCAATTTGATCTTGCCTGTAAACTGGCATGCCTCATGTAACAAACTGTTATTTGAGAATAAATTATTATTATTATTATTACATATAGGGCCTTCAAGCTAGACGTGAACTCGTGCATTTTTATCGACCCCTGTTCACGCTTAACTAGTCGGAAAAACAACCATATGTTATAATCCTGTCATAACTCATTCAACTACCCCTACCTTCTTGTCAGACTGCTTTCTCTAGTATCAAAACCTGGTGTGTATGTGTATACACTTTCTTGCTGTTTGATCCCAAACATCCAGAAGCAGCCTGGCTCGTTGAAAATAAATTGCATTCGTATCTTTTTTCAATGAAATAAACACACTTGGAGTTTGTAGGAGTAAATAAACCAGCAGTGGCATTGGACCCCAACCACAGGAACTTTGTAGCCGGACACAGAGTTACTGTAATGATTTATATTCAACGGTTAACATAAAGAGAAGGTTAACGATGGAGAATGTGGGAATATTCAGTTAGATAAATTGGATGGCATGGTTCAGCCTCGCAGACGTGGTCAATCTGTACAACTTGTTTTTACTCACATTAAATATATTACTCCATTTTTAGCATAAATATGTTCTTGCGAAACTCCAGACGTCGTATTGTTAATTCTTACGATGCGATGAGTCATTTTAGACAATAATGTGACTTCCATGCAAGATCGTAGCTTAATAGGTCGATCGATAATAATAGCTGGTCATCCATATTAATTATAAGCCACAATGGTTTGTTAACAAGCTTTAGTAGCACATACATGCTTCGGCGAAATAAACTTGTCAAGACACCAAACTCTAAGAAATATGGCCTTTAAATGACGCAAATATATATTGGATCGCAGCGTGAGAAAAGACTGAATGGTTATCTGGACCTAGTCCTTCATATTATTTCTTCACCTAACTATCCACTCTACCTTAAACTATGAACTATCCTATAGTATCTTTTCTTCGACCACTGCCTGCCTAATTTCCAGTTTTCGAGTTCCACTGCCAAACAACGAAGACAATACTCCGGAAATTTGCGGTGAGTTTAAGCCATAATGCTTTTGCAACCCTAATATAATTTCAGATTACTTATACGTTGAAAGCCAAGTGTTTATCTAGGCTCTAGGATTGTCACTAAAACAACCAAGTGGCGAAGTCAGTAGCACTGTACGCCCAAGAACTAGTTGGAATGCTGGGTGTTCAATCTAGTTGCTTTTGGATCTTTACTACTTGTCGCAACTGGTCTTATATACGTCAAAACTGTTGGATGATCTAATCCCTAAAAGTAATCCAGGTGCGTTTTGCTATTTTGCTGGGTGATTTACTGTTTTGATGCTTAAGATGTATATATTTTCACTCAGACTAGCCTTATATATTTGATACAAACCACTCGTAAATCGCTTATGGCATAAGGTAATTTCATAACCTTTACAACAACATACTACCATGGAAAAGTATGTTGTTTAAAGCTTTAGCAAATTCAACTAATTCACTAGCCATATGTAAACCACATAGAAAGTGTGTTTCTGCCCAACTTCCACTATCATCACCAAAATCATCGCCACCATCCAAAGGACAATCATCAGCTGATTTTAGTAGACAATCCACATCTAATGATTGAATTAGACGACAGGCGCAGTCTTCAATTAGTTGATCATGTTCGATGTAACAACAAGCATATTTTGAATTCGGAAATGTTGTATTCATCGTCATAACAGTATGTCCATGATCAATTGGATTATCGTCATGAGGATGAGGATGAATATCATCATCATTATCATGATTATATGCTTTGATATTAGTGGTGAATGCTTGTTCATTCATAAGACTGAGAGCTTCATGGTACACATGTGAAACTTTCACATGTTTTTGTGATCGTGTTTTTTTGAGCTGGCTACTACTGCTACTACTAATAGTAGTATTATAATTGTCATCATTGTTGAATAATTTAGTAGGCATTGATAAAATATTCAAATATTTTGGTAGATCAGTTTACTTCACAGATGAATTTAGATCGACATTTACTGATTGATTCCATTGTTCACGATGACATTCAGAACAACATAACTGATACAGTAATAACCATAGTTCTTGTAAAGTATGTAATGTGTCTAATCGTGCACATAGGCGCGCCATCGGTAACAGCAAACTGTCTGTAGATCCATAACGATCATAGTTATCATTGCTACTATGATTAGTAATATTCGCAGGGATAATATACTGGAAAGTTAGAGGAGAAGCGTATTAGATTCAAAAAATTATTTGACACATAGTTGTAATTGCCTCTGTCATACATTTATAACTATCACCAGACTAATTACAGCATCTTCTTATGAAAAGCTTATAACTCCTCATATTCCTGACTGAAGTACAATAAGCCGTCTCAACTTCAGAATTTTTTATTTTTGCCGATTAGTTCCTAATTCTGTTCCTTATCAACCTGCATGTTAGCCTAGCTTATACGTGCATTGTATTATATCATGACAAGTCAGGGGATAGAAGCTGCGAAGTATGTATTGAGTTATATTCCAAATATAGTGGAGTACTCTACTCGGTTCATTGTTTTATCCACAGAAATTGTATGCTGCCGAAATATCGAAAGAAATATCACTACTTTAACACGACAGACTAATTCAACATATAAATACATATTCCTGTAAAGTCAAGTAGACACTTAGTTAATCGAAGCCATACCTTCAGAGTATGTAACAGCTCTTATGTAGTCCATTTTAATGACGAATTTCTTGACGCTCTTCCCTCTTTCACGTTCTGGATTAATCTTAAAGTATCTAAGTATCGTTTATGTGGAAAATGTAGAAGTCAGTCATCTAGTTTTATGTCCAACAGATAAGTATAAATCGGTGATTAATAGAACTTATTATGCAACCAATGTCATAATAATAATTAACATTATAATTACCACAAACAATCCAGAGCTCATGATGGTTTGATAGACACAAATAGGATATAAACGATTGTGTCATATTCTACTGTGTGCACCAATTAATAATTACCTGTGAATATAAACGAATAGAGATAAGTAATTGTAAGATCCATTTTGAGTGCCTTGTGTGTTTGTGAAAATCCCTCCATGTATATACTTACACTTTGTTCCTATTGATTCTTTTAGTTGTACATTGTTAACTTTTTGACTACATTTGAATTGTTAATATTTGTATTTTATTATAGTTTCGTTTTTACCACACCTTCACCAATTCCCCATGTTTCTTCCCGAACTGCACTTATGTTGTTTTACTTTATACTAAGTCTGGGCGGAAGCCATTTTGGTTTATCCCTGCTTTTGATTGCTTGACCTGTGTTGACTGGAATTGTGCATTTTGGTTGTGAATTGAAGCACTCTTCCAGAATTGAAAACACTCTGTGTTATAGAGCGACCAATTATTACCTTTTGAACGAATCAGTACGTGATCTATCCAGACAGGATAGAATAACATTTATTTGTGGTGATTGGTAATTTTTCCTCATCTTCTATCAACTTCTTTATTTATTGTAATTTAGATTTAATTGATTGAACAATCATTGGTTGAATAGCCGGGTGATAATATTTGTTTAGGTAATGATTTACATTAAATTTATTATGAATTATAGAACCGCTAGTTACCCGATTACTTGTTCTGATTTCGACGGGAAAGGGCGCGTGTCTAACATCCTCGGTCGGCTATTCTTCAACATCCAAACCGTAGTTTGGATCCTACAGTAATCTTAATTTGCAAGAGAACGCTGTAGAACCTAAATTATTGAATAGATAAATAAATTACAGTAAATATTAAACATTTATCGTGCTCCATAGCTGGTTGTCGTCTTTTTAGAAATATTTATTTTCTACAGGATGGAAATGCCGACCCGATGCCTAACCCTCATGCCGGCCTTGGAACCGGCAGTAACTCTAGGTGAGCTATATGCGGACATGAACAAATCCAGATGAAGACAACTAGTGTAGCAGCAGCTTCTGCATCAGTGAGTTTCAACATTCAAAAAGGGAAAAAGCATGATCATCAAATACAATACAGAGAACACCAACACAATCACACTTGGTGGAGAAACTTTGGAAGAGGTTGAATTCTCTCATGTACCATGGTAGCATCACTGATGAACAAGGCGGATCCGATGCAGATGTACCGGGGATGATTGGCAAAGTAAGGGCATCATTACTGAAATTGAAGAGCATATAGAACTTAAACCAACTCTCAACCAATGTCAAATTGGGAATCTTCGATATGAATATCCAGACAGTTCTAATCTCTGAAGCTGAAACGTGGAGAACTACCACAACCATCATCAAAAAGGTAAAAGTATTCATAAGCAAGTGTCTTCGTATGATACTGAATGTTCGTTGACCGGATACCATCAGCAACAGCCTACTGGGGGGAGAACAGACCCGCTTACAGCTGAGGAGGAAATCAGAAAAAGACGCCTGAAATGTGTTAGACATACTTTACGAAATCTTAAAACTACATCACGACGCAAGTAGTAACTTGGAATCCTGTAGGGAAGTGGAAAAGAAGAAGGCCAACGAAAAGAATACGTTGAGAATCGGAAGCAGATGTAAAAAGGATGAACAGCAACTGGAAACAACTAAAAAGGATTGCTCAGGACAGGGTTGGATGGAGAGTACTGGCGTGCAGCCTATTCTCCTAGATGTGAGGTAACAGGAGTAAGTAGGTAAGTAAGTTTATTGAAACTTACCAGTCCTTCGGGCGTGAGTAATTGCTTGATTGCGGCCGGTTTTGGGTAATGAAGAATGACCGCCACTTTTCTTTGGCAGAGATTGAATGTCTTGAACATCAATAGTGTTTCCGAGGAAATATAGTGAGTCATTTCCGATTTAACATTTCTGAATGTTCACAGTAATACCGTGCTTTTGAAGACAAAGTCCAGATACCGGAGATCGCATTCTCTGTCCGAACTTGCAATCGAGTAGTCATCAACATACGCATATACGAAGTTGAGATCTCGGAAAACGTCATCGGTGAGACATTGGAAGATTTGGGCAGCATTTCCTAAGCCGAAAGGCATGTGCGAAATCCCGTAGAGACCGAAAGGATTGGTGATACAGGTTTTAAGAATGTCGTCAGCAGCCATTGAAATCTGGTTATATGATTTAACCAAGTTGATTTTTGAAAAAAACCGTTGTACCTTTCAAGGTAGCTGTCAAATCATGAATGTGGGGCAACGAAAATCGATCAAGAATGGTTTACGCATTAAATCGCCGATAGTATCCAGTTGGACGCCAGTCGCTGCTGTCCTTTTTGGGGACCATATTCAGAGTAAACGCCCATGGACTGTTTGACGGCCGAATGATCCCTAAATCTATCATGTGATTGAATTCGTTCTTAGGCAACCACAGCTTTTCGAGAGCTAGGTGGCGTGCTTTCGAGGATATAGGTGGTCCTGTATTCGTGATGTGATGTACAAAACTGCTGGTTGAATAAGACAGTTTTGGTTGCGTCAGGTATATCTCAGAGTACTCATCGAATATTTGTTGGTGGTATGAATCGATCGTGTGCCTTACTGTAACTGGAGATAAACTACAACCGTAAAAAGTTACACAAACAGATAAATTAGTGTTTCCGTCTACTCAGTATATGTGAACGAATGAACTGATATTTGCTTTTATAATAATAATATTAATAATTTATTCTCAAATAACAGTTTGTTACATGAGGCATGCCAGTTTACAGGCAAGATCAAATTGATACAAATGATACAATATCCACTGTAGTAAATTACATAGCTGGGTTGATAATTTATAAGATATGAATGTAGATGGTTTTAATCAGTACTACAATTGGCGCTTCACGAAAGTTGCGTGGCAAATGTGCAACTGATGGTCAACGATAGGTCCATTGAAGGTGGGAGCTTCTAAATGTCTCAACCTTATGTCCCTTTGGAATGTCTGAGGCTTTGAGGTTGGTGCAAGATAAAATCTTTCATTCCATATCACAAGGGGGCTGAAAGAGGGGGCAAGTAAAAGAAAACACGAGGGGCAGAGTAGCCAACATTCATGAAGGAATGTTTAAGGTATGATTACTCAGTCTAATTTTCTTTTATTAAGGTATTTGTTAAGCAAGAGCATTTAATAGGTTAAAGACAATAAGTGTTAACAAAGTGTGAGTGGACATACAACTGACACATGGAGGCGATTCGGAAAGGAGCTGGAGGTATGGGATTATGTGTGATTCTAAAATAAAATATGGTGCTAGAAACACTATTGTGATATACAATTGGCTAACTTTTTTATCGAAGCAATTGGAGCCCTTTTCTTTTTTTGTATTATTACTTTTTTTCAGGTATCATAGGGTCTTGAGTAGGCTTCGTATATTATCGAATTGTCTAGTTTGCTTATAATAGGATTACTGAGTAGGAAGTGAAACCAATTCAACGTTCGTAACACGATTTAAAGAGGTATTTTGCATGATAAATCACCATTAATACCTTAAGTTCGTGACATCCCACTAAACCATAAGGAGCCGTAATTAAACAAAATAGATTATATTAATTTAACAGCCCTGCTTGGGATGCATACTGTGAACCAGTAAATGTTGTAACTTGTAGGTCATGCCTGTAAAAATGGCGTGTACCTGCTTTTGCAGAAATATATAATAATAACCTCCGTTTACGAGTATCGATGAGTAAATTGTGATGTTGCAGCAAGTGTATATCAATGATTAGCATAGAAAAACCTACAAAAACGAAAATCCACTGCATCGGTTTGTGTTAACTCACGTTAAGATAGACATACCGCTCACCATATATGGAGATCGGTTTTCCGTTTGCCGCCTGAAAGTTTAAAACCGGTTCGTGCAGTCGATCGTTAGAATTCGTTAGAGGAACGCTAACTTCCGCGCCAGCGTCTAAGTTGTAGCGAACTTCCGTAATCGCATCAGCGACGCATAACAGACGGCTATGTTCTCCGGCCATGATTGCTGTCAACATGT